TTTTTGGGGTGCCATCGGATTCTGCAACTTGCCCAAGGCCATGAAGGCTGACTCTTCTCCCAAGAGGTACAGAATTCACAACCTCTGGCTCCCAGTCAGGTACCCAACTACATGTGCTTTTCAGCCAGCTCCTAAGAGGTCGACCAATTGAAAATTTTAAAATCAGCTTCTAGAAGTATTCCCTCTCTTTCATTGGAACAATTTTTATCTTGATGCAAAAGTACGCAACTCTTGTCTTGCCTTTCAAATGTTTTAAATCTCTGGAATCAATTTGAGTACTACACACTATACTAGAATTACCTAACCAAGCATTTTCCAGACCATGTTGGCTGGTGGAAATGGTTGGAGTTGTAATGCAACACATCCAGAAGGTACAATTTCAAGATCAGAATCTACAGATCACATGCACAATAAATATTTAAGTCATGAAAACACTGACATAATCGCACCACCTTACCTTTATATTTTTGAATTCCTTCTTCCAAGGGTAAAGGAAAAGATTTACCCCAACTGATTCCAACACACTAAATGCATTCTGAAGAGAACGCAAGCTTGAAGATTTCAAGAACCTAAGTGAATGTTCAGCAATCTCATAAAATTTAATCAGACGGAATCTATAAAAGGGATCAATCTTGGGAAAGCAGAGTAAGGCTGAAGCTGCCACTCGTAGATATTCATCACTAACTGGACGATGCTTCTTTTCAGAGATATCCAATTTAGATTCATGAAACTGTATATACTTCCTAAACACATCGTCTTTATATTTTGTATCCATCTGAAGTCGGATTCTTGCACGCTCAAGGGCGGCTACCTCATCTTTTTCATTGCTACTTTGAGGCACGCTGATCTTTAAGTAATGTAAAACAGCACTGAAGTCTTCTGAAAGAAAAGAGGACAAACATCACTCATTTGGACACTACACAAATTATCCCTAAAGTACTAATAATTATTATGAAAGCATCTGTACCTTGGAATGGGCCCTTCACACTTTTGCATCTGTCCAGCATAACTATGTCTAGTTTGTAGACTCACCCTTCATTTTGCTAAAAATAGTACATATTTAGCTGATTGTAGTTTTGATATGATATGATTATCTAGAACTTGTCTTAATTAAATTACCTGTTTGGTCCCACCTAATTTTTCGCAAAAATACTTATATCCACAGTTCCACATACAGATAACCATGACCGGTAGGACAATGAGGGAAAGACAGAATAATACCCATAATTTTTACAGTTTTCAAAGTATTGCACATATAATATTCACATTTTCTTAGTAATCCTTCTGACATCTTCCAAAGTCAATCTACCCTTAAAGGTAAGAAAGTATGATGTAGATGGAAATAATGTAAACTTCTGGATTGCTCCATTAAAAGTGGGTGCATGATATATGACTGGGATGGGTAACAGTGGCCCTTCAGAAGTTTTTTGGACAAATCTCCATAATTTTTACCATTGGCAATGCTGAATAGAGTTGAGAGGACCTGCAGTCCAATAATAGCTGGAGGGTGATGATCTGTCTTAGCCTAGTACAAAGATTTATTAAAATATGTTTTAAGCATACAGTACAGTGGTACCTCGACTTAAGAACTTAATCTGTATTGGGACTGCTTTCTTAAGTCGAAATGTTCTTAAGTCGAATCACCATTTCCCATAGGAATGCATTGAAAACCATTTAATCCATATCTGCTGTTTTCGTTCTTAAGTCGAGGCACTGTTCTTAAGTCGCAGCATTAGTTCCTATGGGTTAATCCATATCTACCACTAGGGGGTGAATTTTTTTATTTGTTCTTCTTTTGACCTAAGGTGAACTTAGGTCAAAAAAAGGGCAGGAAAGGTTTCTTTTTTCTTTTTTGGTTCTTAAGTTGAGGCTCTGTTCTCAAGTCAAAGCAACTTTTTGCGAACGGAGTCGTTCTTAACTCAAATTGTTCTTATGTAGGGATGTTGTCAAGTCGAGGTACCACTGTACTTTATAAGTCTGGGTGGTTGCTTTACATGTCATCACTACTCTTGTTCATAACAAGATTAATTCAACACTTGACATTCAATAGATGCTTGAATTTTTTTCCCACAAGCATACCCACAGGCCAGAATTTCAGAAGAAAATTTTACTTAGTCAGGCCCTTCTGCTTTCTTTGGTATCGGGCCTATCTCTTCTTTACATACAACTTAGTGCAAACTAAATACATTGTTATCAGGGTAGCAGTTTCTAAAAGCTTTGACTAATATTTAAGCACACAGACTCAGTATACAGTACATAGGTTGAAAGATTTGTCCAGCTTTATTACCAGTAGCATTCTATGAAGCCCTTCCCTTTTTAAGACTATCAAACATTGCCTTCTAATTGTTATTGTAGGTTTTTTCGGGCTGTTTGGCCATGTTCTGGATCTTTTTCTTCCTAACGTTTTGCCAGTCTCTGTGGCTGACTGGCAGGAAGAAAAACATCCAGAAGAGGCCAAACAGCCCGAAAAACCTACAACCATTGGGTCCCAGCTGTGAAAGCCTTCGAGAATACAGTGCCTTCTAAGTTAGTCTTAAATTATATATTACTTTAAAGATGATTTATCTATGTATGCCCAGCAATGAAGCAAAAACCAAGTAAAGCAGAAAATGAGAGACAAAAATGCGCAGAGTATTATGTCTTACTTTAATCATCTTGGTTGTTTTCAACACATAGCACAACTCGGTTTGCTAGTTTTTAACATTACAGGTGCCATCTGAGTATTCTGACAGAAATATCTCATATCAAGAACAAACTGGCAGTAAGCCGGCAACACTGCCAAGCTATTTTGAAAAAGGCTGTAAGATGTTCCTAACTCCAGAAAAAGCATCTGCATACCCAAAATAAAACTACACTGAGCACAAACAAGCACTTTTTTCCAACAAGAGATTCTCTATATTAATCAGATGATGACTTTCTTGGCCCAGACCGTGACAGTATGATTGATATGCATACAAAAATTTTAATTATTAGCTTCAGTTCCAGTTGAGGAAGACCAGAGCTACAACAAGCATCTCCTAAGAAGTGGATGTTTAAAGACTTGGGGAACGTACGACTCTCCACCGATTACTGAAACTACAACACCCATCACCCCTAGGCACCACAGCCAACGGTAAGGAATGATGGGAGTCACAGTGCAAAGAACATATGGCAAGCCATACCTTCGCCACCCAACTGAAAACTCAGGCGTTCGATGTCTGTCTCTGTCAGTAAATGAAAGCCACATTCCCACCCACTCGCTTTATTATAATATTACAGTTAACTACACAAAAAGCAGACGCCACCGTTTGTTTGTTCTCAAACGGACCATCTGTCCTCAAGATCCCCAACCACTGAGAATGGCTCTGAGGGGAGGCAGGGGGAAAAGAAGAGAAAAGGCGGAAAATTCCCCCACTCCTTGTAATAGAAACCCCTCCTTCCCCACCTTCGCTCGGCTGAATCCGAACCCAAAAGGAGGGCTAGAGCCGAGCCCCAGGTGGGCCCCCCTGGAAGGAGCCACCCGAGGGATGCAGGCGACAGCGAGGCACCTCTTTCCTCCTCCCTCCTCGCCGCCCAGAAGGGTCACCTGAGCTCCCCACCTCCCTTGACTCCAGCCATTCTGGTCCCCCACCTCCCTCCTCCCCGGCCTTCCCCACCGCCACTCACAGAGCCGTACCCACCGAGAAAGCTCGCCACAAGGAAGCGCGGGAACCGAGCGACAACGTCAGCTGCACTGGGGCTCCCCACCAAAACCCACAACCGTCGCCGCCACTAGCCACCCAGGAAGACGTTCGCAACCCGGAAGTGCAACCACCTCCACCACCACCACGGCTCCTTTCACCCCGCCCCAAACAGGAAACCGGAAGTAAACGTGAACGCATTTCTCCGAGCCCTCCGTTCCCGCAACGGCTTGAGTGGGAAGCGCATGCGCATGAAGGAGGCCGGGAACTACGTCACTAGAGCTAATAATAGCTGTACACGTTTTGCGCATCTTCCAGTGCTTTACAGCTCTTCTCTCCCTCCGTGGCTAAAATGGGAGCCTTTGTTGATACTGGGGGAGGGGGGGAGGGGAAGGAAGGAGTTTGTCTTCTCGAGGCAGCCCACAAAAGCTTGTGCCAAACCAAACTTGGCCTTTGAAGTGACACAAGACTCTTTGTGATTTAATTCTGTCCTCACCATGGTGACGCTAAAAATAACCTTCTAGGGAAAAGCTGTTCTCCAGACAATTTGAGTTCTGCTCAGGCGCCTCTTCTCCCTTAGAATGGCTCTCCATGCATTCCAGTCATTGTACATTTTTGGAACAGGATTTCTGATTCCCTGTTCAGTCACAGTCGTTACCCACTTTTCCAATTCCATCTCCCCCTCCCCCCATCGTAGTTTTCACACTGGTTTCTTACTCATGAAACATAAGGGGTAGGGAGTTTAGTAGCTACTGAACTCCTTAGCTTTTGCATTTCATGAGTAAGAATGTAAGGAGGGAGAGGCGTAGAGAAGAGAAGGCTTGAAGGAATCTGATAGACCAGTGGTGGTGAACCTATGGCACGCATGCCACAGTTGGCACACAGCCCTCTCTGTTGGCACATGAGCTGTAAGTCGCCATAGAGAAATACTTACCCATCCTCCGATCCTGGATCTCAGCACTCCCCTCTCCTGATGCAGTGGCCCAGCGGAGGGGTGGGAGGCGTAGAGAAGAGAGCGCTTTGAAGGAATCTGATAGACCAGTGATGGTGAACCTATGGCACGCATGCCACAGTTGGCACACAGCCCTCTCTGTTGGCACATGAGCCGTAAGTCGCCATAGAGAAATATTTACTCATCCTCCGATCCTGGATTTCAGCACTCCCCTCTGCTGATGCAGTGGCCCAGCGGAGGGGTGCAATGGTAACCATTACCAGTCTAGCCCAATGGAGGATTGGAGGATCAGTATTTATTTGATAATACGGGAGGGGGAGGAGAAGAGACAAGCATTTAACCCTTGCAGTACAGGATCAGTTGTTTTTTCTAAACTAAAACTTCAACATTTGGGTTTTAATTGCAGTATTGTCACTTTGAAATAAGTTGATTTTGTGTTGCAGTTTGGGCACTCAGGCTCAAAGGTTCACTAGGCGCTCAAAGGCAGCTACTGCCCTCAAGCAGCAGATTTTGCAGTACCAGTGTATTTTTGCCATCTATCCATGGCATGGATCCACATGAATTTTAATGTACGCTCATCTCCAATTCATTGCCCATCTCCATTTCCTCGGTTGTGGCACTGGCGTGAGAGGCTGGACTGGAAGCTTTTCGAAGTGGCATATTTTCTCCCCACTTGTACTCTGCAAGGAGCTGTCCATGAAGTGCTCATGGTGTTGATGATGAAGATGAGGCTTGCCAGGTCCCAGAGAATGAGCTGCTGTGCCAGGAAATGGCTGGGCTCTCCTGAACCTCCAGGCTAGGCAAACAAATGTGAGTAGCAGTGGTGGAAGGGAAGGCGTGAGTCTCGTTTATTGTTACAGGGTGGCCATAGTGTTTGGGTATCCAACTCAACCCTCTCCGAATGGCACCAGGGCTCACTGGATTCCTGTGTCTGTCCAACACGACACATAATATAATTGCTTAGGAGCTCAGACAGGGAACCCACAATGCCTAGTTCATTCCCTCACACATGGAGAAATATGTTCCTAATTCCTGTGACATCACAAGGCCCCACACCATGACTTCACAAAGGCCCACCCCAGGCATTGGGCCCCAGATATAATGAGGGGATGGGGAAGATAATCCCGTGACAGCCCATGACAAACAAGACAACACTTCAAAATCATTCCGGAAAATTCTTTTATTGGTTTTGGAAAAGAGGCTAAATGGGTATCCTCAGCGGAGACAACGGCCTGGTTCAGCTCCAACAAGATGCCTGCCTTCTGGTCCCTCGCATCCCTCTGGGGAAGAGGAAGCTTCGGGCTCTGCAAGAGAAAGAGAGAAAAACAACTAAGGGGCGAGCTTGTCCACTGCCGTCAACTGGCTTCAACCCAGGCGTATCCACCAACAAATGTTCTGGAAACTTCATCCCAAAGTTCTGCCTGCCAGCATCCACTGACTTCCACCAGGAATATCCACCCGTTCATCTTTTCCACTCCGCTTCTGAAGCCAGCCTCTGCCAGCTCCCAAATGCTTGGGTCACACACACGCCCTGGTGGCATCCCTCACCATTCACACACACGCCCAGGCTTCCATCCACTGATATCCACCAAGCTTCCGCCAGCTGGTTTCAGGAGGCTAATGTCACCCAGCTTCATCCACCAACCTCTGCCGGCCTCCGCCTTGCGGCCTCAGCCAGCTTCCGCAGAGAGATTCCACCAGCTTCTGTCTGCCAACATCCACCGACTTCCCCTCAGTCCATCGCCGACATCAGTCAGCTTCAAGCCACAGATCTCCTCCAGCCTCGAGCTGTTAACTCGCAAGCCCACTTAGCAAGTTCACCTAATTTCGTGAGAGAACTTGCCTTGGGCAGAAGGGCTGGGTCCTCTGCAGCTGCTGCCGCTCTCTCTGGTGGACTGGCCTCCCTTCTGGTCTCCTGCCCTACCCAGCAAGCCCCTTTTATCTGCCAGCAGAGAGGTGGGGCTCTGTGAGGTCACAAAGACGCAAGAGAGTGGGGCTGGGTTCCCAAGGCAGCAGCAGCACCCTTGGGATTGGCTGAGTCCTGAAGATGATGTCAACAGTCCCTCTGAACATGTGATTCACCCACAAAAGCTTACATTTTGCATGATTTTTTTCACATTTGTGGCCTATTAATGTACCCCCTGTCATCAATCCCTGATTGTTAAATCTCCCCATATCCTTCATCAGCTTACCCACTGAACTGCTAGCATGCACTGCTTCCTCCCTCCCCATTGCACAATCTTCCAGTCTGGGCAGGAGCCTGGATCACCCTTCCCCTCCAGCAGCTGGCAATTCAAGATACAGAGGTGGGGCAGGGATTGCTGCAGTGCTGCCTTTGAGTGCTCAGCTGCTGGAGGAGGCAGAGACGGGAAGTTCAGACTCTTGCCCAGACTGGAAGATAATGCAATGGGAAGAGAAAGATCAGCACTTGCCGGCAGGTCAGTGGGTGAGCCGGTGAGTGGGAGAGGGAAGATGTGGCACCTGTGCTGCCACACAGACAGATTCTGATGAAGGGACACAAAGTGCTTCATGCCCATCTCTACTTAACACTTGAGCAGGCTTATAAAGAAAGATGTGGTCTTTGAGATAGCTTGGGGCTTTAATAAGTTAGAACCAGTACTTCAAATTGTGCCCGGAAATGGATTGGCTACCAGTGGAGCTGCTGCAACACGGGGGCATTATGTGGTAACTGTGACTGGCCCAAGTTAGCGATCTGGCTGCTGTGTATTGGATCCACTGACGTTTCCTGACACTTTTCAGAGGCAAATGTAGAGTGCATTACAGAAATCCATCCGGGATGTAACTAAGGCATGTGTCACCACAGCCAGATCTAATCTTTCCAGGAACAGCCACAGCTGGCATATTAGTTTTAATTGTGGAAATGCATTCCTGGCCACAGCTGAAACCATCCAGACTCGGAGACAAATCCAGAGGCACTCAGAAGCTTTGCACCTGAGTTTTCAGGGGGAATGTAACCACATCCAGCACTGGCTGCATCCCTGTTCCTTGAACTGTCTTTTGACTGACCAGGAGCACCTTTGTCTTGTCTGGATACGATCTCAGTGTTCTCACCCTCCTCCAATCCATTACTGACATCAGACACTGATCTAGAGCCAAAACAGTTTCCTCAGATTTAGATGGCAAGGAGAGATAGTTTGTGTCTTCCGCAAACTCCCAGAACACGAGACAATCTGTCTGAGTGGTTTCATGCAGACATTAAAATAACACAGGAGATTAAACAGAACCCTGAGAGACCCTACAGGCCAGTGGCCAGGGTATCAAACAGGAGTCCCCCAGCACCACCTTCTGAATTCTCTCCTCCAGGAAGGACTGGAGCCACTGTAAAGCAGTGCCTCCAAGTCCCGTCGCAAACAGACAGGCCATGAGGCACCATGGTCGATGATAGTGAAAGCCACTGAGAGGTCCAGCAGAGCCAACAGAGACACTCTTCCCTTGTCCATTTCCCAGTGTATATCATCCACCAAGTCAACCACAGCGGTCTCTGTCCCGTAACCAGGCCTGAAGCCAGATTGATGGCTGTGGTGTTTGCCCTTGTGGCCCCTGTTTGTCTTTCCCTCACAAAAGCTGACTTCATGTTCTCCTCTCGCTGCCACCAGTGGATTACCTCAATCCACAATATAAATGACGTTTGTCTGAACACTTGACTTGTGAACAGAAACAGAACTTATTTATTGAAGTGAAGCCGATTGAATAATAACAGAAATTTCTCAGATAAACATTATACACGAGCAAATCATCAACAGTTCTCTCAGTACATATTTCTTTTCTCTTGCTATATCATTACCACCTTCTCTACCTATTTTCTTAACCAGCTTTAGCTCTCTCAGTATCTGTTCCCTCTCTCTGTAACCAGCCCTTATCTGCCTCCTCCTTCTCCTGCCAACCCTCATGTAGCTGCTGACTTCACCTCTCCAGTCCTCTCATAGGTTCATGCAAATCAGCTCATTAATATGAATAGCATGAGTGACATGGGCGAACATCACATTGGCACATAACAGCCACCAATTGGTTGTCCACATTGTATGCCCAGATATATGACAGATGGCTAACAGAATGCAGGAACCACTTGCACAATTTACCTTATATGCACACTATTTCACAATAGAATTTGGTCAATGTGTAGTATATCAAATACTAAGTGAATGTACTGTGGCACCCTGAAGACCAACA